ACGCACTGGCGACGGGCTGCTCTGCCCCGCCCCCGAGGCCGTGGCACAGGGCGCCGCCATGTTGTACGGAGGCTACTGCTGCTCGGCCGCGGCCTCAGCGCGGCTCTTGCGTGACAGCAGCGGTCAAAATAGCGCATAGGGTGAAGAGCAAGCGTGCCCCCTTCCGGCTTTTTTCTTAAACCTCTGCCCTCTCTTATAGCTCCCTAGTCCACGCAAGCGTTAAATTGTGCTTCTTTTCTTTGCTTCCCTCGCACTGTGGGGTACTGCACGCTGTCGTGTGCTGCGGCACCAAGCGGGCCGGACGCCATCGCTTTTCCCGCCCTTTGCTCGTGCCCGTATTTGGAGTCTTCCAAACCTCCCACTCCCTCAGCTGGCTCCAGGGCTGCTTTGCAGCTGGGGACGGGGCATACCACAACACGAACGAATCTCCGCTTTCCCCTGTGGCCCTGCAAACAGACTTTCCCCTGCCCTCCCGTTGCTGCCATGCTGCTTTCTAAAACAGCAGCTGCTTTTCTCAAAGAACCGTTTTGCTCTTCATTACAGTGGTTATCTCGTTTTAGCACCATTTAAAAAAAAAAGTCTAGATTTGCTGTTCAAAGCTCTGAATCTTTACACGGTTTTCTGCCGCGAAGGGGCCGCTTACACCCTCCCTTGGAGGCGGTGTATTCCGACGCAAACATCCATGGTCAAAACTCCGGTCCCGCTAGAATGCTCTTTTCCTACTGGCTTCTATAAGGAGCAGATTTAACTTTATGACTTCGGCAGTGGTGTTGCATGGCAATTGCACAGGGACGCACGGCCTTCAGCGCCCAAGTGCTAGGGCCCAGGGGTGCCTGAAATGGGCTCCTCGGCGGGCCTCTCTCTGTGAGGAGAGCTCAGAAAGGCCCTGTGCTGCCCTGCCCTGCCGCTACGGACACGGCCCCGTGCGCAGAGCGCGTAGGAGCCGACGCCATCTGAGCGCCCTCAGTGCTTGGAAACCTTTGATGTGCACTCGGCCTCCTCCATAGATCTGTAACTGGCAGCGGATTGTGCAGCATACTCCCTGTTTTCTGTCTGTAATTATTATTTTGGTTAATTATTGACTCTTTTTAAGTGCAAATTATGGACACCAGGATTTTTCTAATTCATTAAAGAAGAGAAAATGTGTATGAACTAGATATAAGGATCTATTTATAAGAGGAGCTTCCATAAAACAAGTAAATTTCAGAGCAATTAGAGTACTTAATATGAACTTTCTAGACCCAGAACCCCAAGGGGAATAAGAAAGCCAATTAAATTAGATTAAATAATCATGCCTAAATATAAAAATGTATCAGAATCCAATTGTTAAAGAACAACACTACTAAATTATGATAGAGTAGTTTAGTTGTTATTAAACGCAACAGGTTTCTGTGTTACTGTGAAACAAATGTATGGATATTTTTTGAGCTGATCTGGTTTGAACTCTAATCTCACTTGATACAGATTGTATGAGCTATCAGGTAAACTCACTTCTGCTGGTGTTTTGGCTTAGCTTTCCAAACATTGTCAGTTTATTCTGTAAAAGGATCAGAGCAGTCATGTCAATGGTCTGCAAAAGCATCTAAAAATGTCAGTTTTAATTTTATGAGTTTAATGTTATCTGATGTGAGGATAGTATTTGAAGCAGGAGCTCACTAAGCCCGTTTGTACAGATTAGTGCTAGTCAAGTGCTTCTGCCTCCCCCCACCCGTACTCCTTCCTCTTCATAGACCTGAACTATTTATTTGGGAGCCGCATTTTCCAGCATCCACCTTTCTCATGAACTCTTTCTGCACTTCCTATTTTTCTTGAATACAGTCAAAAGCATGGAATATGCAAAACCTCTCATCTTGAAAAAGTATCATGCTATCTTTTAAAAAACATACTTTTTTCCTTGCCAGGATCCATAGGCCCTGAGAATGTGGTATTTCTTCCTTAAAATTGGGAATTGAGGTTTGTTTCCAGGGTGTATTTTCTTACTGTAGATGTAAAACTGCCCCCTGCCCCCCTCTTTTTTTTTTTTTTTTTTAAATCAGAATGCCAATGAGTAATGGGCAGCATTTGGCCTGGGCCAGCAACTGGCAGCCCTATTCTTTTATTGCACCAGAGGGACGCTTTGTTCAGAGTTTAAAACCATTTCTTGGTATACTGACCTTGCTTTCTTTCTTGCACAGCCTTCTCCTTGTCTTTCTTTCTTTTGAAAATCCATATCTGTGTGTACAACCAGTCACTTCCAGGGGCAGCTCTATTAAAGTAAGACCAACTATGTGCACATGAGCAAAGCTCTCCTATTCAGACCGCTAGCAAACACCATCCTCCTTCCTTTCCCCTGCAGTCCCCCTCCATCCCGCCTCACTTCAGGGACGCTGCTGCCACGATCACGTCTGGTGACCCCCGCGCTGCAGCAGGCCTTGAAATGAGGAAGGGAAGTAAGAAACCTTCCAGATATATTAGGAGCTTACTGAAAGGGCAGAAAGGGGAAAAATGTCCTACGGTCCATTGCCTCTTTGGACATACTTTTTTACATTCCTTTTCTCGTTAACTGTGTGACACGCGTCGCAATATGAGTATATTCATTTGTATCAATGTAACCTTTCACAAGATGGACCTGTGCAAATTACGTTACAAGAAAGTGTAGTTCATTTCCATTTCAGTGGAGCTTGTTAAACAAGCAAAATTGTTTTGTAGCAAAGGGAAAAACAATTTAGTGCAATGCACTCTTAGCATAGGAAGTACGTAACATCATATTTGGGTTGAAACTTTTTCTGTCAAAAATGTCATAACCCCGTAAGAAAGAGAATTAAAATCCCGTTATTTTAATTTACATCTAGCCACGAGATAAGTAAAGTTATCATTGAAATTCTAATTAAATAGGATGATTGACTAAGGTAGGACATCAAAGAAGAGAAGTGAATATGATAAGTCAAAGTCTTATTAATTAGTCCGCGTGGAAGAAATTCCAAGGACGTCAAGCTGAGGCTGCTGCAAGGAGAAAAAAAGCAGACAAGAAAATGTGTGTTTCTTTGAAGTTAGGAACTGAGATAGTGATGGAGGTAATTGTGTCTGACTGGATCCAGTAATGAAGAGCCGTAAATCAGACCTAGGAATCGGAGGAAAGATTCTAGTAACGAATGTGGCTGCCCCCCTGCTGCGAAGAAACAGAATGCAGAGCTGACTAATTGACCCAGTCTATCTCCCAGTAGCGCTCTGTTATTATTTATTAATTTTTAATTTCTGAATTATTTACGTTCTGGGAAATTATTTTTGACAGTCTGTTAGGCGTGCCAAAGTTAATGGAGGATGAAAGGACCGGTACTAGAATTAGCAGGGATGTAGTCACAGGCTACTGAATTTAATGATTTTGGAAGGGAAAATTGATTTCACACAGCGTGTCACTTTATACTACTTTAGGGATACACCAGCTATTTGATTAATTGAGGAATAACCAACTCAAAGTATATTTGAAGTGTAAATGAATCACAGTGCTCAGCTGTTTATTTTTCCCCTTTTCTGATGAGAACACTGAGTTTGCTTAAAGCTGGTGATTAAAACAAACACAGGTAGGCCCCATACTTGCACCTGCATACTTTCTCTTTCCTTTTAAAAAAGAAAACAACAACTCACCATCTGGAGGAGACCTGTAATCCTTGGTCTCACTTGGGACAGAGTTCATCCTTCCTCCACAAAGCCTAATTACACCGGCTTTGTGCACATTCCCTGTCCACGAGGGGAAAGCTCCTGGAGATGGGACACAGTACCAAGCCTGCAGGCAGGGCAGGCAGCTGAGACACCAATTCTCCACGGTGGCCCTTCACAGATGCCTTTTTCTAATCCCAAAGATGAAGCAGTGGTCACGGGCCTAAGATATTTCCCACTGTAGGCCCTGCTGGTGCAGAGGTTGTTATGTTTGTCCATGTATGCACACTATGGAGCAACCATACAGTAAAGGAGCTTGATGTAGTTCTTCCAGGCTGTGAAAGCTGTCTTTCATCCTCACTGCCAGACGCAAGCTCAATTCCTTCTGTTCCTTTTTGCGAGAGTGCATCTGACACTATAGAAAGCTCACATCTCCAGAAACTTTCCTGTGGAAACTTCTCCAGAGCCACTAAAGGGCGGCACAGCTCCCTCCCTGCTCACTGCGGGCAGCCTCGTGAAGAGAGGCACGGAGCTGCGTTTCTCCTGCGCTACAGAGACGGGCAGACTGGTGTCCTTAACGCGGGACCAGCGTGGCAGTGTCATCTCCGGCATGGCTTCTCTTGGTAGACCTGGATAAATCACTTCTTTAAGGGCAATGGAAGCTCAGCTTCAAAGAAACAGGCATTTTCTTGTGCCTCAGAATGACTACCACAACACTCAAATAATCTAGTTACCTAAATGCTAGTCTTGACTGGCCTAAATCCAATTTTCCATTTTTTAAATAAGAATGATTAAAGTTACTATTTAATAAAATCTCAAAGAATCAGTGAAGAGCATTTGTATGTATTTTTTTTCTTTGTGGTTTGGGAGAACAGTAAATTCCAAAAAGCTGTTTACCAGAAGAACTGACTGAAAAAAAAAAAAATCTGTTATAAGCTGAAATGGATCCCATGAGCAGGTGAGAAAGATATGGGCCAGCCTCCATTTCCTGTCCTGTAAACAGCAAAATTCCTTTGCCTTCACTGGGACCAAACGACTGAGTGAGTGGTTAAGTACAGAATAGACCTGGCATTTCCATGTTACTTTGTTCTATAAAACAGCAACAATCATCTGTCATAGCAAATGTTTATTTAGTCCCATATGTGAGGGCAGAGGTAGAGAATAGCGAAAAGTCATTCATGCATCAGTGTACCTTTAAATTATGT